AAACAAATTAACAAAACAAACAAAGTGTCTTCTAATATTCCTTTAAAAATAAAACAAGCAAAGCAAATACAAAGATAGAACATACAAAAACAAATAAAACAAACAAATTGTCTGCTAATATTCCTTTAAAAACAAAACAAAAACAAATAAACAAGACAAACAAGGTGTCTGCCAATAATCCTGCAAAGAAAAAACAAAACAAATCAAAAACCAAAAGAAAACTAAATAAAGCAAGCAAGCAAGCAAACAAACAAACAATCAAACTGTCTGCTTATATTCCTGTAAAAACAAAGCAAACAAACAGTGTGTTGATAATCATGTAAAAATAAACCAAAACAAACCAAAAGCATGCATTCCTGTAAAAACAAAACAAAGCAAACAAACAGTGTGTTGATATTCATGTAAAAACAAACCAAAACAAGAACAAACAAAAACAAACAAACAAGCAAACAGTGTCTGCATATATTCCTGTAAAACAAAACTATAAAAAAATCTAAATGAAACAAACAAACAAACAAACAAACAAACTGTCTGCTACTGTCACTGTCCGACGCATAATATTCCTTTAAGAATAAAAAACAAACAAACATAAAAAACAAAAACAAATAAACAAAAACAAAGTGTCTATTTATAATCCTGCAAAGACAAAACAAACCAAAAGAAAACAAAATAAAACAAACAAGCAAACAAAGTGTGCTTATATTTCCGTAAAAACAAAAAGTTTTCATGTAAAAACAAATCGAAACAAACCAAAACAAGAACAAACAAAATCAAACAAACTAGCAAATAAGCAAGTATAGTGTCTACTCCTGTAAAACAAAACAAACAGTGTGATATTCAAGTACAAAAACCAAAACAAACAAAAAACAAAACAAAACAAAACTTAGTTTAAAAGGAAACATATGCTTGGCCATTAACATATAGGTGATATGGAAGAATGTTTGATCTAAGTGTATTATTACTAGTTAAGACTATTTTAGATAATCCATGAAGTGAAGTATTAAACTTAACCCACAGTTAGATCAAAACAACAAAAGCAAAACAAACTTTGCTAATAATGTGCTTCAGAACTTAATTGAAGAAATGGTAAATCTACATAAAACATGCAATGTCAGCAAATACAGTGCTGGAAGAGCTTGCAGTGCACAAGTGAAAAGCCTAACTGAAGAAACTTGGTCAACGCAACAAAAGTTGTAAGACTTCAACAAGAACAACAACACAAACAAAAAACAAACAAACACAGAATCTGATAATACTATGCTACAAAACAGAACAAACACAATCCCAGCTACAAAAACAAGAAAAACAAACAAAGCCAAAGTACCACAAAACAGCAAATGTCTGCAACACAAAGATTTAAGAAACGCTAAACTAAACTAAAAAAAAGAGTCAAAGTAAAACACAACGAAACAAAAATTAAATGTTTGTAAAAAAACTAAACCAAAAAGGATGTCAGCTGCAAGATAAACTTAACTAATCTGTTAAATTAAATCCCAACAAAAACACTGAACGTCTGCTAATCTAGTGCTACAGAAATGAATTTACAGCCGAAGGCCAAAATATTAGCCCTCGTATGAAAGGTTATGTCTTTTCCAAATATCAACATCATATTTTTAATAATTAATAAATCATTTTTAATCATATTTTTTAATCATTTATGTAATAAATAATGTCTAGTAACAAATTTAGAGGCCTAACGAGGTTAAGTCTCTGGACAAGTGGTTTGTTATATAGCCAATAAAAAATCTAATAATATTGACCCTAAACAATTATATAAAGATGTAAAACTGTATTAAATTCAGCCAAAGTAAATGAAACAATTTTTCTATAGAATAAAAAATACAGTAAACACTATGAACATGTTCTTCCACTGTTAAGCAATATGCAGTTACTGAAGTCATTTGCAGACAGACCTGTAGGTGTCGCTGTATATTCTCTTTTAGAGAAAACGGCGAGTCTTTACAGTGAGACTTTCTGAGTCGTGTAATACAATAGTCCACGGACGGTTATGCTTTAATAACAGCACCGATACAGTCAAATCAAGTATAACGTAAATAAAGTCGTATTTTCATCAAGTCAAAGAAATTAAGCTCGTTATATTTAGCCTAACGTTACTCCCCGCGTGAAGCAACACAAGGATATCTTAAGCAACAACGGTATATAGTTATAACATACTTTCCAACAACAAGCAGCACAATTTAAGTAGTAAATGTATGTTGTTCCAATGTCTCCCTTGTACTTTTTAAATAGTTTACCTGACGTTAAAAGTAGTGAAAACAGTCGAAATGCTTGACTGTATTTTGACCGCTGGTGTATTTCCTGATTGCCTCAGCAGAACATTAGTTCAGACAGTCCACCGGCTCACTGTCAGTCTCACTCGAGTGTTTTGACACTTCATTTAATTCGTCTGTGTGTGTATATGTGTGTGTGTGTGTGAGAGAGAGAGGTACAGTGAGAGTCTGTAATGAAACTAATGAAAGGCATTCTCTGCTGGCGCCAGTATTGAGGAGATCCTACTGAGACACGCACACACACACACACGCAGACAGAAGCGCTACACCTTCAGTAAAATGATCGTCTCTTGCCCTGGCAACACCTGCTGTGTGCTGACTATGCAGTCCACCAATAATTACTTTTTAACACTTAGCTTCGGCACCTGCTTGACGGGGACTGAAAAATATGTAAGTATTAATTACACTGGAGACGGTCAGGATAAATGGCGTATGCCGTGCGCTTTCATTCTCTTTCTTTCTTGACGTTTCATATGCGAATTGTCTATATTGTCAATTTAAACGATCGAGATTGTGTTTATTACAACGACAGGGTGCGAATTACGAGGGGGTTGGGGATAACTCCCCTTATTAACGCTTTATCCCCCCTGAAGGACATGACAAAGAGATGTATGGTCAGTCTATATACTGAGAAATAGCTCGCCCTGATCTGTATTTTAAATAATAATGTTAATAATTAAAATAATAGATAATAGCCTATAAAAATATACATTTGCCCACCCCTCCCACATGGAAAAAACCCATATGCGCATATATGGAACCTATATGCACATTTATGATAGGCTAATATCTGCATGGGGGTTTCCTCTGGGTGCTCCGGTTTCCCCCACAGTCCAAAGACATGCGGTACAGGTGTATTGGGTGTAGTTGTAGTGTATGAGTGTGTGTGAATGTCTCCCAGGGGTAAAACATTGCACAAAACTGCGTAAAATGTACTGGATAAGTTAGCGGTTCATTCCGCAGTGGCGACCCGGTATTAATAAAGGGAATATGCCGACAAGAAAATGAATGGATGAACATAAAATAGATAAATACTTTAATAAATAAATATAGATAGATGGATAAAAATCTGAATAAAAAAAAACCCTTTCTTTACCCCATTGAAGCATCTGTTCCAGGTCAAAACAGACCTATGTGTGGGTGTATTTACAGTATGATATTCAGATGTCTCATGCACTGATAAAATGCTAAAGAAATAACCTTAATTTTTCCGATTTTGAGTGTAATGCATTAATGTGCACCTTTTGTAAAGCTACTTTGAACAGTAATTATCGTGTAAAGCGCTATACAAGTAAACTTGAATTGAATAAACCACAGCACTGGTGAATACTGAACCCTTTATTCTGGATGAATATCCGTCTGACACACACACGCACACACAAATGAGCAATACTGCAAGGTTTATGATTTCACCTGCTGCACTTCAGTTCATCCATCCAGCACCAGTCACATCAACAACAGGAATGCAGAAATAAATAACACATTATTAGGAAATACACATCACCATATAGATAAAGCACAATGATAACAGAATGTGGTTCGATCTGCCTTTTTAGGGTCATACATTCAGCTAAGAGTCATTTAAAAAGAAAAACCTTCATGAAGTCATCACATTCTTGAGATTTTTTGCAAAAAAAAAAAAAAAAATATTCACAACATTAATTAAACATTTAAATGGCTGCTGGTGCTCGGTGTGTAAATACGTCAGCACACAAACAAACACACACAATTATCTTTTTATTTAATGTTAGACCTAAGTTTACATTCAATTAGTATCACTTAAAAGGGATAGTTCAACTAAAAAAATTTAATTTACTCATTATTTACTCTCCTCAAGTGGTCTTAAAACTTTTAGGAGTTTCTTTATTCTGTTGAACATCACAAAAGATGATACTTTGAAGAAAGCTGAAAATGTGTCACCATTATTGACTTGTCATAGGAGAAAAACAAATAGTACACTTTCAGCTTTCTTCAGTATATCTTCTTTTGTGTTTAACAAAGTCAAGCAGGTTTGGAATAAGTAAAACGTGAGTAAATGATGACAGAACTTTCAGTTTTGGTTGAACTATCTCTTAAAATCAAACCCGATGATTTTCTGGATACGTTAAGCATGCAGGCGTGTATAAAACCGTCTCACTTGCACCAATCTTTTCATCCTTGCGATTGATTTTCCTCATTTACCAAAATGTACAAATACAAACAAACAAAAAACTCCCATCATTTCCTCCCTTAAATAACAGACACGCAGCTTTACGACAACAATCAGCAGTTGGCGTTGATTTACAGAGTTTTAAGAAACACTATCTCCTGCTAATGTACTCGTTTCTCAGTTCATTAGAGCAGGATTCGCAGCCAATGCGCACTTCATTACACTAAGCTAAATGACAAAATAAGCGAGAACTAACGTCGCAGAATTACAAGTGGCATGACCTAAACCTACAATGCCACAATAATGGCATTGGAAGAAAAAAGCAGCGTTCAGTAGTGACATTTAAAACCAGATTGTGATCCTATTTGAAGAGTTCATTTGAGGAAAAATAGGTAAAACTGCTGTATTTTTTTAGAAATCATATTTCTTATAATTAAGTGCACATTAAAAATTACTTTATGATACTTGTGTAATACTTTTCAATAAGGTTTCATTAGTTAATGTATTTACAGATGTGAATAAATAATGAACAATACATTTATTGTATATAGATAGATAGATAGATAGATAGATAGATAGATAGATAGATAGACAGATAGATAGATAGATAGATAGATAGATAGATAGATAGATAGATAGATAGATAGATAGATAGATAGATAGATAGATAGATAGATAGATAGATAGATAGATAGATAGATAGAGTTTATACATTATTTTTACCATTTAGTCATCAAAAGTTGTTCGTTTCTGATTTAAATACTGCGTTTGAACCAAATGGTTGAGTGAATAATACAATGACTCACTCATGAGAAGTCACTTTTTCATCCCTCAATGAGTCTGATTTTGAACAAATGAACAGAATGAATGATTCATCGACAAATTAGACACAATCACAGATTAATTGATAAGATCAAATCAGATACAATCTTATAAATAACAGTTCTACAATAGGATCAATGGTGTCAGCAAGAACCTTTAACTGTATACAACAGGTTCTTTAAAATGAAAACATGCTCATCATACCAAGGGATATATTTATAATTATTTTAAAAATGAAAAATGCATAAAAATATCTATCCATCCATTCATAGTCAATTAATTATTCAACCGTTTGGTTCATAAACAATATTTCATTCAAAAATGACCAATGTTTGATGACTAAATGGTAAAAATTATGTATAAAAACATCTATCTATCTATCTATCTATTTATCTATCTATCTATCTATCTATCTATCTATCTATCTATCTATCTATCTATCTATCTATCTATCTATCTATCTATCTATCTATCTATCTATCTATCTATCTATCTATCTATCTATCCATCCATCCATCCGTAGTATAGTATTTAGTCACCGTTGAAAATGCAGTCATCCGTTGTTACTTTAACTTGTAGTGAATTAACTAATATTAACAAGCACAACTTTATATTTTAATGATGCATTAGTAAATGCAGAACTATTAATAAATGCCGTACAAGTATTGTTCATTAATAGATCATGTTAATCAACTAACAGTAACCAATGACACCTTATACTAAATTCTGATTAAAAAGCGTGATTTATGAAAGTTTGATTTATGAATTTTTTTTGGAGCAAATGAACTCTACATTGTTCATCTAAACAGGTTTGAAGCAGATTTCAGACAGCCTTTCTATTGCAGCAGGCTGACAAAGTGGAAACCCAGACAGTCACAGTTAAATCTAAATGGTTATTTGCGCCAAAATTCCCCATTTGCACCTTTCTGATTGACTTCACCTTTAAACTAGAATACTGATACTTGTGTCTTATTTTTCAGGGTGGTTGGTCTCATCCTTCATGACGGGCATCCAGGGCGGGCTGAGCTCGGGGATGCTCTTCTTGGCCTGATTGAGGTGGGTCATGGCGGTGTATAAACTGCCCCTTGAGCTCTGGTCTGGGTAGTACATCTCAAGAGCAGACGGGGTGCAGTGTCTGTGCTGGAGGACAAAAGCAGAGCGTGCAAAATAAAGGGTTTGTGAGAACGCATTAAGAAAGAAGGGAGAAGGTCAGGCAGGTTTTGTGATAAATCAAATGTAAAGGTTAATGTTATGGAGTTATGCGCTCCTGTTGGTAAAACACTGGTAGAAGGGTCAAACTGCACATGAAATAATGCCTCCGCTTGCATGCAAAACAGTAATCAATATTGTGTAAGGGCAGAAACTTTATCTAGTATTGTTTTTTTCCAGGTATGTCCTGAAGATGCAACTCTGCACACCATCAGTCGAGTGAAATAAGCGTAATCTAGAGGCCTTTGTAATTTATATAAGCCACTTCTGATACCTAATGAAGTCAAGTTATTATTTGTTTTTCCAAAAACTTGGATAGGCGACAAGATTTTTGTTAGGTAGTGCGTATATATAAATAAATGTCATGCACACAAATACAAGACACCACTATGGTAACACAGAACACTAAAATAATGAAACAACGCAATAAAGCCTAATCTAACTAAATGAGATATAATATTAATCCTAATTCTAAAATAAATACATTAATAATTTTTACAATTTTATGTTTAATAAGTTATATATATATATATATATATATTTAAATAATATTTCATAAAAACAAAATCATATCAACACATTAATTTAGTTGTCTTTTTATTGTATTAACTTATCCAAATAGATTTATACAAACGAAATGACAACAGGTAAATAGCTAGTATTGAGAACTAAATATTGGGGAAAGGAGAAAACAAAAAATGAATAAACACATTAGCTTTTTTAAAATACTTTTGCCCATTTCATTAAATTTTGTCTCCTCTTGGTGTTATCATACACCCCCCAAAAATGACTTTTCCTACTTGTTCAAACTACCGATTTCAAATGAGTTTAGAAAACACAGATGTTAAGTTTTTTGGGGACAACCTAATTGTTTTATGTTCAATCTACATAAATTTAAAAAAACGATTAAGTTAACTTATTCGAACTGTGTTGGGACAATTTTTTTTTACAGTGAATGAGCCATTCTGAGTTATCATACACTGTAAAACCCAACAGTCAAATTTATCAAATGAAATGAGTGTAGTTAACTCAAAAAGTACTGAAAGTTAATTCTCCTCATTTGAAAAGAGTTTTGAACTCAGTGTTGAAGGTAAGGAGTTAATTAAATGCCTCATTACTTCAACTTAAATGGAGTAAGTTCACAGTACTCATATATATTTGTTGTTGTTTTTTTCTCAAATGGTTTGTATCAATTGGTTTCCTTAAATGGTTTGAATTGCCTAAACTTATTTGGTTTTACAGTTCTCAGTTGGTCTGAGTTCTCCATTTATCGGGTTTTACTGTGCTCTAATTGCTTTGTTTACTCAAATGGATTAAGTTCACAGTATTTATTACTGAACTTAAACAATTTGTTGCAATGGGTTTTCTCAAATGGTTTGAGTCACCTTAACTTATTGGGTTTTACAGTGTACAGAAAACAAGCATTCTTTACAAATGAAACATATCAAAGTTTAAAGTCATGCTGAAATTATTCTATACATATTTAATACAAAATTACAACTTGTAAAATACAAATTCTGATTAAAAAAAAAAAAAAAAAATCACTCCCCCTACAACTTGAACCATCTCCACACCCTAGAGAGCAGTAATAAACTATAATTTTCAATGGTACGCAAACATTAAAAGGCTTATTATATTCCTGACTTGTAAAACAGATGCTTGTAAATGCTTCAAGTGACAGCTGAGCAAAGCGTGCTGACAGTCAGTCATTTCAAAAAATTAAACTAATAGAAAATACAGTGTTTTGTGAGGGAAAGATGTCATTCAAGAGACGTCAACATGCCAGAACCTCCATAAACCTCATTCCTTCTTAACAAGAGGCAATTTTCCCGCTCTTCAAGTTAGCAACGCTACATTAGTGTGGCACGCTAATTACACCAGTGGTCTCGGCATCAAAGAGGGAGAGGTGGAAACCCCTGCAGGCCTAATCACAGTTTAGTCACGGTTAACACTAATTAAAGACATTCTCACACTCCGCCAAAGCTAACGCACAGCTTCAGATATATTCTATATGGGCTGAAAAGCTCTAGCTCGGCTTTGATGAGCCGGAAACAAAGCAATGCGTTAAACGAATATCACAAAGAACAAAACATGCGGTTAGTGCTTCATTAATCTGCTTCAAATCCTAATAAGCTGACTAAATGGAGTCTATTATAGGTGGATAAAGCTGAAAGTCAGATTTTAGGTTCTGTATACAGAACACATATACTTTGAAAAGCTGTGCATCTGATGCTAGAATGAAACATGCTTAGCTTTAAACAGCATCCCGGTACAAATAGCAACAAACAAACAAAATAAATAAAGGAATAAAATATTGGTGGGATTTTTTAAAGATGTGATCCAGGATTAACATCTCTGTTGATCCTAGATAGTCTTTTTTGTTCAACATTTTAATCCATACCAATTCCCTAACCCTAAACCCAACCCTAACTGTAAATGATTTTCAAAAACACAGAGGAATAATAGTTCGATAACATTTATAGAGGTACATTACCCTAACTGTAAACTATAAACATCTCTTAATTCTGATTGGCTGATTGGAATGTTGATCCAGGAACATGTACTACTTTGTGAAATCACACTATTTACATATAGATTAGATTAGATTGAAGGGGACTGGGATGGATGGATTGGATTGGGATGGATTGGGATGGATTGCATTGGGATAGATGGATTGGGATGGATGGATTGGGATGGATGGATTGGATTGAGATTGATTGGATTAGGACAGATGGATGGATGGATTGGAATGGAAGGATTGGAATGGATGGATTCAGATTGATGGGTGGGTGGGTGGGTGGATGGATGGATGATGGATGGATATATGGATGGATGGATAGACAGACAGACAGACAAAGTCATTCGTTTTTGAATGAAACACTTTTTTGAACCAAACAGTTGAGTGAATAATACAATGACTCACTCATGAGAAGTCACTTTCTCTCAATGAGTCACTGATTTCGAACAAAAGCACTAAATGAATGATTCATTGACTCACTAATGGTGAGAGCATCTCCTTTTGAAATTGCATACAATCTTACAAATGATAGTTTGTCAGGAAGAACCTTTGTGGTTAAAAAACGATAAAAAAAAAGATCATACCAAGGGATATAGTTATTATTATTATTATTATTAAAATGAACTATTCACAAAAACAAAAAAACAAAAAAAAAAACAACAACCTTATTTTATGACAACAATAAAGAAACTCCCATTTGGAAGCTTTATTTTTTGGAGCGTATGGACTAGAAAATACCACTTTTAGTTTGACAATTTCCGAGTTAGTAAAAGCTACATTCTTTGAAGTATGAATAGGAGTGCTAGAATGAACTTCAGATTACGCTACTATAATGTAATCTATCAACCAATGAAGAACCACTGACACACAAAGTCTCTCATAGCACCAATAACAAGGTTAAACAAAACCTTAATGCACAAGCTATGAAATCAATATTAGAATCATTTATATGACGTACCGCTATTTTAATATGATCCCTTCACACTAAAAGTAGGATCTATTTTGAGCAAAAATCTATCTATCTATCTATCTATCTATCTATCTATCTATCTATCTATCTATCTATCTATCTATCTATCTATCTATCTATCTATCTATCTATCTATCTATCTATCTATCTATCTATCTATCTATCTATCTATCTATCTATCTGTTTGTCTGTCTAAAAGACTATCAACCACAGCTTAATTTTTATAAAAGCTACAAGTTGTAAAATAAATAAGTAAACTCTCACCTACAATTAAGACCACAAATGGTTTGTAAAGCAGACTAAGGCTGTTGTCTATCAGCATTGACAGAGCCAGTGTGTGTGTGCTTTAGTGAATACCTGGAGAACGAAGCCCTCGGGACAGCCGAGCTGATCATACCACAGCGCTTTATACATGACCAACAGCAGCAGACACGCCAGAAACGCCAAGGTTATAATAATCAACCCAGTCAGCTGGAAAACACACACAATAAAAAGTTGGAATTAAATAAAAATTTGCTCTTATTGTTATAGTAATATAGTAGTGCTTGTTTTAAATGATGTATCTGTGCTCTGCATCAAATATCATAGCCTTCCCTCCCCCCTCAAAGATTTTTCTTCACTTCTGGTCACATGGAATGCCTTTAGGGCGGGGCCATCAGCCATTTAGGGTGGGGCTATGAGTCATTTAGTGTGGGGCTTACAATCATTTAAGCGAGTCTATCAGTCATTTAGGGTGTGTCTATCAGTCATTTAATGAGGGGTTATCAGTTCTTTGGGGTGTGGCTGTCAGTCATTTAAGGCCAGGCTTTTAATCATTTAGGGCGGGACTATCAGTCTTTTAGGGCGCGGCCATTAGTCACTTAGGGAGTGGCTATCAGCCAGTCATTAATAATTTAGGACTGGGCTACTAGTCATTCAGGGCGGGGCTATCAGTGATTTAGGGTGGGCTGTCAGTCATTTAGGGAGGGGCTATTGGTTATTTAGGGAGGGCTATCGGTCATTTAGGGTGGGGCTATTAGTAATTTAGGGCGTTGCAATCAGTCATTTAATGAGGGGCTATCGGTTCTTTAGGGTGGGGCTGTCAGCCATTTAAGGCGGACTATCAGTCATTTAGGGCGGGGCTATTAGTCCTTTAGGGTGGGGCTATCAAGGAGTGTGTTATTTCTGCTTATTTCATCCACTCATCAATCTTTTTTCATTTTGTTAGCACCATCCATGTTCCAAAAACTCCAATCTGTTCACTAAAGGACAAAATCAAGCACCGTCTTACATTTATTTTCTCATTTCAGGACTGTTTTAAAGTAGATGTACTCCACGATAGAGGGAAAAAAAGGCAATCTTAATGTTTCATGGTGGCTTAAACATTTATTTAATCTCACTTTTTGTTTTTTTTACTTAAATTACATTAGCCTAAGAACTGTGGGTAGTGCTTGTAAAAGGTATATTTTTGATATGGAGAATATACATTTTCTCTGAGGCAAACTATGGATAGATTTGATTAGAACTGGTCCAAATGGTTATTACAAACAGGAAAATAAATAACTATGGAGTACTTCACAAAGAGTATGCCATGTTTCTTGTTTCCCTATATATGAGCAGTATTAACTGTTGACTCAAATCTGCTGTACCATATATACTAACTTTAACATTATCATTTATCATAACATCATACCTTTATTCATTAAATGCCTTTTTTAATTCAAACGGGGAGGACCAATGGGATTGTAATCCCTATCAAGTATTTGACTGTATAACTGTCATAAAAAGACATAACTGTATAAGAATGATGTAACACTTTTTATTTTTTACCTTGAGCTTCTCAGACATCTCATCATAAAGGTTTATGTTCAGCTTCTTGATGCTGGGCACATACAGCTTCCTCTTCTTCTCCTTCAGCTGATACTCTGTTGTGGTCTTCACAATCACCTATGGAGTCACAGAGGAAGAATGAACTATTAAAATGAGTCAGAATGAACAGATGAGAGGGGGATGGCAGAAACCACAAGAATGGGCTCGCTGCCTTCATCGCTGGCATCAGAAAAACCCTAATGGAAAACCAGCTGAAGCGAGTAGCTGGGTTTTTGAATGCTGCAACTCAAATCTAAACTCTTTTTAAAACATTTATATGTTGATATTTATATTAATATTGACTATTTTGAAAAAAAAAAAGCAAAAAATTGCAGCTGTATGTAAAAATGCAACCTTTAGCAGCAAAATCATAACTAAACTTGATTGGTTAATACCTATGATTACCATCTATCAAAATAGTTATATGAAATAATCCTCATTAAAATCAGACTTTATCTTTAGAAGTATTTTGTAAATAAAACTTTTAATTTAGAAGAGAAACTGGGGGAGTGCCTTTATTGTGTCAGAGATTTGTCACTTTGCTCACAGCTGATTAGTCAAATCATGGTTCGTGATCGGTTTCTACATTTGAACACAACATCATGTTAGCCATTAAAGAGTCATTATAGCCAGGCTACATTCACTGTACCTAAAACCATAGACATTTATAATAGATAGCTAGACACCTCAAGAGCCATTGAATGGTACGTCAATGCTGCCACCATCTTAATCCGTTCACTGCATTGATGTTATATCTCTAGTCTAACTAGGATTGCGTAAAATACCTGAGTTGTTTTACCTGAATTGTATAATTATACATAGCACGAAAATACTATTTCATATTTTTTTGCTATTATTAATTAATCTTTTCATATTTTCTGAATTGATTGTGCATTATTGAATAGAATGTTAATATAATGTTATTATATATTATTATATTATATTAATAATTACACATTATTATAATATTATTATAATGTGTGAATCATTTCATTTTATGAACGGTTTTTGTTAACTGCTATAAAACTGTAAGAAAAAAAAAAATAAAGGATTCCAGCTCTACTTTGATACAGGAGATAATTTTATTGATAATACATCTTTCTTTATACCATAACATATACACGCAACGGCCACTTTATTAGGTACACCTGTTCAACTGCTTGTTAACGCATATTTCTAATCAGCCAATCCCATGGCAGCAACTCAATGCATGTAGACATATAGACATGGTCAAGACGATCTGCTGTAGTTCAAACAGAGCATCAGAATGGGGAGAAAAAATAAATTTGAGTGACTTTGAACGTGGCATGGTTGTTGGTGCTAGACAGGCTCGTCTGAGTATTTCAGAAACTGATGATGTACTGGGACTTTCACGCACAACCATCTCTAGGGTTTACAGAGAATGGTCAGAAAAAGAGAAAATATCCAGTGAGTGGCAGTATTGTGGGCGCAAATGCCTTGTTGAAGTCTGAGGTCAGAGGAAAATGGCGAGACTGGTTCAACTGATTGAAAGGCCACAGAAACTCAACTAACCTCACGTTGCAACTGAGGTATGCAGAAGAGCATCTCTGAATGCACAACACGTCCAACCTTGAGGCAGATGGGCTACAGCAGCAGAAGATCACACCGGGTGCCACTCCTGTCAGCTAAGAACAGGAAACCGAGGCTACAATTTGCACAGGCTCACCAAAATTGGACAATAGAAGATTGGAAAAACGTTGCCTGGTCTGAAGAATCTCGATTTCTGCTGCGACATTCGGATGGTAGGGTCAGAATTTGGCGTCAGCAACATGAAAGCATGGATCTATGGTGAATCTATGCCAGAAGGACTAAAGCAGTTCTGAAGGCAAAAAGGGGTCCAACCCGGTACTAGTAAGGTGTACCTAATAAAGTGGCCGGTTAGTTTAGATTACAAGTTTGAGCTTTCTTCTAGGTAAGTAGAGTTTTTTTTCACCCCATAAAATTTTAATCAGTTAATAAATAGAAGCGTTATTGTATTCTATATCCAAGAAAACAGCAGCTCCTCTGTTCAGTTGCGTCTGTTTATAGCGCTCTGATGACGGAATTAAGATGGTGGCCGGTTTGACGTATCGCAACCGACCGAAGCGGACAATGAGGTGTCTAGCTATCTATTATACAATGTCTATGCCTAAATCTCATGCTGTGTTTTCAGGACAACAACTTAAAAGTGTTTCTCTTGCGTTCAAAATAATTATATACAAAGTTTTTAAAACAATAAAATGTAATAAGATTAACCTAATATATTAAGCTATGACAATACTTCAATAGCAAACACAATACTATGACAATACTACTAACAAACACAAAACCGTGCTCTTTTAAGATCCTTCGTTAAACTGTTTAGAGTTAACAAAAGTAGACAACTCATTATGAGTTTGTGAAATAATGATGAATTTCAGTTTGCACAGATTCATTAATTATGCCTTTGAAATTCACAGTTAGAGGCTATTAACCATGGCTGCTCTATTTATAACTCTAGCGTGCACTGGGCTGACAGTGGAAATGCGGCTAATAGTATCTGACTAGCACATAGCTAAACAAATAAAATAAGTTTTTATGGGTAACGGTGGGCCCCAAAGGCTGTACCCCCTTTAAGCACAAAGGTAAGCAAATGACTTCACCATTTTGACAAGAATGCAGACAATAACAGTATGACTTTCAAAAATAATATTTGCACTTCAAAAGTCCCCCTAAAAGGCCGATGTTGTGTAAATAAACTTGGTGAATAAAAAAACAAAAAAAGTCAAATTTCAAAGAATACGTTTTTTTTTTTATTATTTCTTTTTACACTCGCTTGAGGTGGTTTTGTGCTTGTCAAAAAGGGTTACTGCAAATAATAGGAGATAGAAATACACTAGCTGTGTCTCATTTCAGAGGCGGCATCCTCTAAAGGATGCATTCGAAGTGTGCTGCATTATCGCGACGTGATGAAGGTTGTCTCATTTCAAAAAAATTCGCAGGCTCCTTCAAATGCCGCCTCAAAATGCGTCCTTCATTTTCCAGATAATAAAGGACACAACTGGTGGATCCTTCAGGGCCTCGAATGTCCCAAGATTCATTGCGCTGATAAAAGCAGCACGTTTTTAAAAGAAAACTCAGGTTTAAATGTTAGAAATAAGTTTATTTTACGTGAATATGTAAACATGTTAAAGAACAAAAAGAGAATGACATGTCTTACGAAAGAGTACATGTTCATGTGTACATGTGTGGATCAAAGGAATTATATTTACAGCTTTTTTTAAACCTTGTTTCGCCTTTAGATTGCATACAATAAGTTTTAAAATCACTTAAAAAGTCATTACAAATTTGATTACAGCTTATTAACAGTAGCTGTTACCGTTGCTAGGTGATGAGATCTGTCCTCTGTAGGCTAGATCGTCTTATTTCAAAACGCTCAGTTCGGTATGTCTGGACTTCCGAGAACTCACCTCTGAAGTCTGCATCCTTCTGAGGATGCAGCCTCTGAAATGAGACACAGCTATAATCTTGAGTAAAACCATATAAACTTGAACATTACAGCCAGGTGACCAATCAGTGGTCTCCATTATGCTTGCCTTGTTTACTGTTGGTTACTAGGTTACCAATACTACAATCAGCTGCTCTAACAAATACGTTTTTTTGTGAACTTTGATTGATGAAAAATTTGATTTACGTTATAATGAAACCCCGGCTACCGACTATCCGAATGTAACAGGGTTAAAATAATGTTTAATTGTCTTTCACCAAAATGGGTTATTTTGTTTATTTTGTGGCTGTTGAGAGACCTCTTGTGGCAACAGTGTGTAATTGTTTCTTTCACCTTTCACCTGCAAAGCCCCGCCTACAGCAGAAAATGGTTGCTGAATGCAGAAAGGCGGTAGGTAAAATGTGCTCCAGCTAAATGTGACAAATTTTGTATTTTAACACATATTAATAACACATACAAGTCCAATATGAACATTAAGTGATGTTTTAGATCAAATCTGTCAAGTGATTGCCGTGTGTGACAAACTTTGTGTGGTTTAATTTGCTCATGCTATGTGTAGCTGGAATGATGACATTAATATGTGCAGGGGTGATTTCTTACTATTTGTTTGGTTTTTTTAGATGCATGTTTAAATGCATACTGTTGCCAGAGGATGTATATTTCTGTTACAGGTATGTTGAACTTTTGTAAATAAATAATGTTTTGTTAAAATGACTTTATGTGGCAACACAGCAGAAAATGGTTGCTGAATGCAGAAAGGCGATGCATGTTTAAATGCATACTGTTGCCAGAGGATGTATATTTCTGTTACAGAATAAACAACGCAGAACGCAGTTCTCTGTGTCCGCCTGAGTGATTTGCGTCTTCAGGAAGAGAAGCGTTACACTGGTGCCGTGACCTGTGGCATCGCGAGGATCCGCTCAACGCAGATCGCCGCGTGGTTGCTGAAATTTGAGGATCGCTGTGTGATTGCTGATCTTTGAAGACTGTTGCGTGATTGATGAACTCTGAAGATCTTCGCATGTTTGCTGAACCCTGAAGATCGTCACATGATTGCTGAACTTTGGAGAATGCTGTGTTTTCATCACTATTTCCAAAACTGACTGTTGACTGGTTGGTCATTTGGTTACATATATATATATATTTTTCACTTTTTCATTTTTTTCTTTTCTTTCAGGCCATCTACATCCTTGAATTTAGGGTAAAATTGTACTTTGGACTCAGAACACTATTTTTTTTCTTTATATATATATATAATTGTGTTATTATTATTCCTTACATTCAATTATGGCCGAAAAATTTCCTTCTGATTTTGATGCAACAAGCCCATTTGTTCCCAGAGGGAGGGGTGCTTTGCTTACTGGGGTATACAATGATGTTACTTTGCGTAATGAGTCATTCCCTGGTACTGAGCATGTACAAACAGTGCGCGATAACACTATAGGTGTTGGTCGTGGGCACAGCTTAAGAAACCAAACAGTGGGACATTTTCCGGGGCATGGTCCTTTTGTTTCAACTCCAAAAGCTGATAATACTGACCAAACTTTGCAGCAAATAACAGACATGATGGGTCGACTTGGGGCTCAAATAG